GTAGAACTGTGTTTTTTGTCATTGTTATGGCTTTAAAAGTGCTCCTAGTGGCTATTAACGAACATTAGACAGAATGCCATATTACAGGTGCTGGTCATAAAATTAGAATATCATGAAAAAGTAGATTGATTTCAGTAATTCCATTTAAAAAGTGAAACTTGTATATTATATTCATACATTACATACAAACTCATATATTTCAGATGTTTATTTTGTTTAATTTTGATGATTACAAATGACAACAAATGAAAATCTCAAATTCATCATATCAGAAAATTAGAATATTGTGAAAAGGTTCAAAATTGATGGCCCCTGGTGCCACACTCTAATCAGCTAATTAACTCAAACCACCTGCAAAAGCCTTTAAATGGTCTTTCAGTCTAGTTCTATAGGCTACACAATCATGGGGAAGACTGCTGACTTGACAGTTGTCCAAAAGACGACCATCGACACCTTGCACAAGGAGGGCAAGACACAAAAGGTCATCGCTAAAGAGGCTGGCTGTTCACAGAGCTCAGTGTCCAAGCACATTAATAGAGAGGCGAAGGGAAGGAAAAGATGTGGTCGAAAAAAGTGTACAAGCAAGAGAGATAACCGCACCCTGGAGAGGATTGTGAAACAAAACCCCTTCAAAAATGTGGGGGAGATTCACAAAGAGTGGACTGCAGCTGGAGTGAGTGCTTCAAGAACCACCACACACAGACGTATGAAAGACATGGGTTTCTGCTGTCGCATTCCTTGTGTCAAGCCACTCTTGAACCACAGACAGCGTCAGAAGCGTCTTGGCTGGGCTAAAGAGAAACAGGACTGGACTGCTGGTGAGTGGTCCAAAGTCATGTTCTCTGATGAAAGTAAATTTTGCATTTCCTTTGGAAATCAAGGTCCCAGAGTCTGGAGGAAAAGAAGAGAGGCACTTCATCCACGTTGCTTGAAGTCCAGTGTAAAGTTTCCACAGTCAGTGATGGTTTGGGGTGCCATGTCATCTGCTGGTGTTGGTCCATTGTGTTTTCTGAGGTCCAGGGTCAACGCAGCCACATACCAGGAAGTTTTAGAGCACTTCATGCTTCCTGCAGCTGACCAACTTTTTGGAGATGCAGATTTCATTTTCCAACAGGACTTGGCACCTGCACACAGTGCCAAAGCTACCAGTACCTGGTTGAAGGACCATGGTATCCCTGTTCTTAATTGGCCAGCAAACTCTCCTGACCTTAACCCCATAGAAAATCTATGGGGTATTGTGAAGAAGAAGATGCAATACACCAGACCCAACAATTCAGAAGAGCTAAAAGCCACTATTAGAGCAACCTGGGCTATCATAACACCTGAGCAGTGCCACAGACTGATCGACTCCATGCCACGCCGCATTGCTGCAGTAATACAGGCCAAAGGAGGCCCAACTAAATACTGAGTGCTGTACATGCTCATACTTTTCATGTTCATACTTTTCAGTTGGCCAACATTTCTATAAATCCTTTGTTTTTATTGGTCTTCAGTAATATTCTAATTTTCTGATATGATGAATTTGAGATTTTCATTTGTTGTCATTTGTAATCATCAAAATTAAACAAAATAAACATCTGAAATATATGAGTTTGTATGTAATGTATGAATATAATATACAAGTTTCACTTTTTAAATGGAATTACTGAAATCAATCTATTTTTTCATGATATTCTAATTTTATGACCAGCACCTGTAGGTCTGCTTTAACCAGAACAGAGTGTGTTTCTGGACGTTATGTGGAACTTTGAGTAAAAACCAGAAAATTCTACTCCAGACTGACAAAAACCCACTTTTTAAGGTGGTCTCAGTCTACTTCCAAAAGGTTTCTGGCCCAATTACGGTAGCTTATTAATACAGACTGGCCTCAGTCCAATCCGTGGCAAAAAGCATACATCTTGTTGAGCTTAGTGATCCACCATAGTAGTAAATGTAGCATCCAAAAAAAAATTTTTATGCTGTGGATGGCTTTGTTTTGAGGTATACTCTGTTTGCTGCAAAAAGTAAAATTAAAATAGAAATTGGGCCAAAGGAAATAAAAATGAAAGCCTGCAGTGGAAAGAACTTTCCTGGTGTGAAAAATCCAAAATCAAATATCATGGTATTTGACAAGTTGACACAGAAACATCAAGATTGTGAGAGTACCAACAAAATAGAAAGGTTAAGGCAAAATGTATATTATTTATTTGAATTTTTGTTTAGTTTTATTATGGTGTAGTTACTCCTTAAAGAGCCTATATTATGCAAAATACATTTTTGAGCAGTTAACTAGATTATGATTTCTTCAACATTGTGCACAATTTTTGGCTGAATTCGTACATATTCCTTATGGGTCCTGCTGTCTGAGCGGTAGCAAACTTTAAAAAGTAGAAAAAAAAGGGGAAATCTTAAATTTCTGTATTTCCATTTGGTCTGAAGTGAATTAATCGAGTGGCATATAGCGCAATGTCGTTCCATTTGGGAAGATGTCGACATCAGAAACAGCAAAGTCGTGTGAGTTAAAAGTTCGCTAAGAGCTAATTTGAAAAAGGCCCTTTTCGCAAAAGCCAAAATTCAGCTCAAGCAAACCTAAAATTTTTTCTTTCATTTATTTATTTTTTTTGTCATTACACTGTCACAAGTACAGAGCAACAAAATGAACTCATGAACACATTCAATTCATCCCCTTTGAGAGCAGTGGGCTGCCATTGTGTGGCGCCCAGGGAGCAGTCTGGGGTTAAAGGGCTGGTTCAACTCCCTGCAGCAGTGTGTCTTAATAAGCTTGTCGCAGATATTTTAGATTTATGTCCAATATTGAAGCGTGGTCTGAGCTATGTTATTCCACGCCACATCGCAAGAGGGACAATCACGAACTAGCTGTGGGTCTAGATACGGCCGAGGTGGCGAGGTAGTAGGGGCAAGTTTGTGCGACAACGGAGGGACATTAGGGCCAAAAAGAGCAGGGATCCAGGTGGAAAAAGGGTCCCAGCGTTCTCCAAACCTCACTCTTCCAGCTGGTCCACCTTCAAGAGTCGTTTTCCGCAATTTCTGTCATACAAACCAAACAAGCCGGTAAGGTACCAAACAGGAAATACACATGGTGTAGAGCGGATATAGATTTGACCAATCAGAGGCCTCCTGTCTGCGGCACTGTCTGCAGTCACCTACAATTTGGGAAGGGTGCGCCAGAGTGTCTGCGGCAGGGGCACATTTGCATTCCCTGCACGCACACGCAGACAATGCACAATGCTCTAACCAACAGGCTACCACTCCCCCATTTTCAAATTTTGCCATATTCACCAAATTTTCTAATGTCATATTTTAAAATACTCTTTAGAAAAAGCTGAAAACACACCTAATGTTGCTCAGTTACCATCCTAGATCCCTAAAGTATTCACTCTGGGCACTCTGGTACATTTTTGAATCTTATTTGAATGAACTAAAAGAAAGAAAAGCGTAGAAAAAAACCTTTATCCCAATACCAGCTAAGGACCTATACCCAGCGGTGACACTTCAAGTCAACCAAACAGCATAAAGATGAAATAAGCCATGTGCCACAAACAATACAACAATGACTCTTCCAAAAGTAGGTGTGTTTGTGTGACACATAGACCCAGAGGCCTCCCGTTGCTTAACTGCGCTCTGTTGACTGGAGTCACATGACAGGGAATTCCACAACGGCTCTGCCAGATATTCACATCAGACCTGCAGATGAGGAAGTGCATGACAGAGAGAGAGGATGCATGCACCGATGACTGTCACATTGTTTGCCTGACATTTACTCTCATTATACCTTTTGTTTATGTAGACAATATAAAAATATCTTCAGAGACAAGAATATGTATCTGGTATGTCAGTTTTCTATGTACCCTTCATGTGATGGAGGACAAGACCACTACTATAAAACAGCAATCATGCTGAGCCAATTGATCTTTTCCTGTTAAATAAAGGGTTTGGACACAACCTTGACTCTTTATGATACAGGCTCAGCTTTCTGGAGTTCCCAGTCCCTTTTTAGACATCTTCAAAGAATAAATACCTGAGGTTCAACTTGTAAAATCAGTATAAGGTACTATAGGAGGTCAGGATTTAAATAGAATACCTGAAGGAAAGAAAATGATACAGAAGATGGGTTGATGGATGGTTCTGAAAGATAATTAGTTAATTAAGTCTGAAATCAAAAACCCTTTCCTACTCTACTTCCTTTTATCAGTTATCCAGCCCTAGAAGCAAGAAAGGCTGACGAGAAAGAAACGTCCAGGTTGATCTGCGTACCTCTCTCCCTGCATTACTCCCAAGTTCTGCTCCACACATGAATAATTCGCAAGGGCTGGTCCAAACACCCCCAAATGCCTGCAGCATTTCTGTAGCGTTGGAAGCAAATCCTCTGCAGTATTACATAACTTCAATTATTACCAGGGGCCAAACCGAATCAACATGTCCCTGATTGCCTACTACTATGACTGCCACAGCTGCTGACACACATTTCAGCCTGACTGGAGTGTAAATCAGCCTCTCTCTCTCTCTCTCTCTCTAGTGTGGCTTTACTATTGCCTTTTTTATTCTCCCTGTGGAATCAGTAGAGATTTAACTTAATTGTGTAAATCAGTTGTGATGGCATGAATAAAGTTGCAGGTAGGAACCAGAGAGGGAACCTTCAAGGACTCCTGGAGGTCCTGGCTTGAGAAGTCCTTCTGCTGAATGGAAGTATTACAGTTAGACTCAAAATGTTGCTGTTATCAGATAAGTGACTAGTCACAGTCACATGGTGTATATCTCTATGTGCAGATGATTAAAGAAAAAAAAAAGGCACACTGTGTGGTATTTCCTCCGTCATGTCACGCATATTTGCGGTGGACCTTTACTATGAACAGAAAACGTCAGAAATGACAAAAGAGCAAAGAGCAAACGGGCTGTTAGTGAAATAAGCAGTGGAACCAGCACCCAGTCCGCCTCTCTTCCTCTTAAAGCCTGTCAGCTCACTGCGGAGCGGACAGGCGGGCGGGTTTCACCGCACTCACCTCTGGAAGATATTCCACAGAAAGCTCTGGTCCGCAGCAGCGTTGGTGTGCGGGGCGCCTCTGTAGGGGCTGTGATACGCCATCTTTACCAGAAAGCTCTGTTACTACAATTCAATAAAACACACAACTACGAACCACAGCAGGATAAGAGCAGAGCGATCGCTTCCTTCTGCTGTAGTTTCTCTTCTTCCTCTCAATCAGACACAGAACTCATAGCGGATCCCCTCCCGCACAGGGGCGTGGCCAACCATTCACTGCTGCCGTATGACGTCACGCCGTACGTCTTTTTCTGTGAAGTAAAAATAGAAAACTGTGAATAGTTTTTTCCATTTTGCTATATGTTAATGGACAATACGATGAGACAGCATGACTCGCATCAGCCGCTTCATTTTATAAAGATATGTTGATGTAGAGCTAGGAGAGGCTACGGAAGAGGATTAGGGCCACTGAAAAAAAAAAAAATTTAACTCAGAATTCTGAGAAAGAAAGTCAGACTTCTGAGGTTAAAGTTAGAATTCTGAGAAAAAAGTCAGGATCCTGAGGTTAAAGTCAGAATTCTGACAAAAAAAGTCAGAATACTGAGGTTAAAGTCAGAATTCTGACAAAAAAGTCAGAATACTGAGGTTAAAGTCAGAATCCTGAGGTTAAAGTCAGAATTCTTAGAAAAAAATCCAAATTCTGAGATTAAAGTCAGAATTCTGCGGAAAAAAGTCAGAATTCTAAGAAAAAAGTCACAATTGTGAGATTAAAGTCAGAATTCTTAGGTCAAAGTCAGAATTCTGAGAAAAAAGTCAGAAGTCTGAGAACAAAGTCAGAATTCTAAGATTAAAGTCAGAATTCTGAGGTTAAAGTCAGAATTCTGCGGAAAAAAGTCAGAATTCTAAGAAAAAAGTCACAATTGTGAGATTAAAGTCAGAATTCTTAGGTCAAAGTCAGAATTCTGAGAAAAAAGTCAGAAGTCTGAGAACAAAGTCAGAATTCTAAGATTAAAGTCAGAATTCTGAGGTTAAAGTCAGAATTCTGCGAAAAAAGTCAGAATTCTGCGAAAAAAGTCAGAATTCTAAGATTAAAGTCAGAATTCTGAGATTAAAGTCAGAATTCTTAGAAAAAAATCTGAATTCTGAGATTAAAGTCAGAATTCTGAGAAAAAAAAATCAGAATTCTGGGGTTAAAGTCAGAATTCTAAGATTAAAGTCAGAATTCTGAGGTTATAGTCAGAATTCTAAGATTAAAGTCAGAATTCTGAGATTATAGTCAGAATTCTAAGATTAAAGTCAGAATTCTGAGGTTAAAGTCAGAATTCTGCGAAAAAAGTCAGAATTCTAAGATTAAAGTCAGAATTCTGCGAAAAAAGTCAGAATTCTGCGAAAAAAGTCAGAATTCTGAGGTTATAGTCAGAATTCTAAGATTAAAGTCAGAATTCTAAGATTAAAGTCAGAATTCTGAGATTATAGTCAGAATTCTAAGATTAAAGTCAGAATTCTGAGGTTAAAGTCAGAATTCTGCGAAAAAAGTCAGAATTCTGAGATTAAAGTCAGAATTCTGCGAAAAAAGTCAGAATTCTGAGATTAAAGTCAGAATTCTGAGATTAAAGTCAGAATTCTTAGAAAAAAATCAGAATTCTGAGATTAAAGTCAGAATTCTGAGGGAAAAAAAATCAGAATTCTGGGGTTAAAGTCAGAATTCTAAGATTAAAGTCAGAATTCTGAGGTTATAGTCAGAATTCTAAGATTAAAGTCAGAATTCTGAGGTTAAAGTCAGAATTCCACGAAAAAAAGTCAGAATTCTAAGATTAAAGTCAGAATTCTGAGATTAAAGTCTGAATTTTGAGGTTAAAGTCAGAATTCTGAGTTTAAAATGAGAATTCTGAGAAAAAAGTCAGAATTCTGACAAAAGAAAGCAGGACCAGACCATGACACTACCAGCACTGTGTTTGACTACTTAGCATGGCACAGGGTTTTCTATTTAGCAAGCTGTTTGCCGAATATAACGGCACACACTAAGTTCCCATTTAGTTGTGTATTGTTTTCTTTAAAGGGGTTTTTAAATCTAATTATGCTGTCTTACATTTGGGAAAAGAGCTTTTATGTTTATGGTTGTGGAACTTTCCTACTTGATTTCCTTCTTGCCCAGTTTCTGTGTTGAAACATAAACACTGACCTTAACTGCAGCAAGGGGAAACCTGCTGTTTGTTTTTTGTTTTAGTTTTGAAGATCAGTGCAAGAGGTGTTGCTTTTGGTACAGGGTTCAGATAGATTTTCTTTCCTTTAATAAATAAATCTTTATTTGTTGTTTTTTTGTCTGATATTAAAGGTTGTTAGATAATCTGGAACAAGGAAAATGCAAAGCTGTAAGTGAGTTAATACTTTTCCACACAACTTTTTCCACCAAATGAAAGACAATTGTTTTTTCTAATAAAAAAAAAACATTGCAAAATATCTAAAGCTGTTTGTCTCTTAAAGAGCCTCTAGATTAATGTTTTTGTAAACAAGTCATAAATTGATTGAATTCATTTGAAAAATGCCAGTTGTTTGCCAAAAGAAACAATTTTTCTTTAGCTAAAGGCAGTGATGGAAAGAAACACAGTAAATTTACTTGATTACTGTACTTAAGTACATTTTTTCAGTACCTATACTCTAACAGTCATTTTCACTCCACTACATTCCAAGGCTGGTAATTATTACTCATTCCTTTTGGCTAAGCTTAGCTTTGTGTTCTGCTGTTGCTGCTTTTCTTACTTGAAATGCAAATAGCCACACTAAGTTACTAAAAGTTAATTCTTAAGAAGAGATATCCTGGATCATTTAGCCATTTCTCCTTTTAAACACATCTGGGTTAAATGGCAGCTCATTAGTAAGCATATGCATAACTTTGACATGTTGAAGAGGTAGTAATACCTCCAGGGTAAATAACTAAAACATGCAAGATACCAGCCCTAAGGGACTGAATTTTGAAATCAGTTTTAAAAATTAACAATTTCACATTCTACAAATGTGAAAAACTCAGGCCAGATATTATTTGTCCTATTAAAAATTTTATTAAGGTTGAGTTGTTACAATGCTGCCAAGTTGTTCGGCACAATTCAATTCAATTCAATTTATTTATATAATGCCAAATCACAACATGTCATCATCTCAAGGCACTTTACAGTTCAACCAGATCATACAGTCAAATTGATTCAAAGATTTCTATCTAAGGAAAACCAGTTGATTGCATCGACTCATTGACTCAGATGCAATCCCTCACACTAAGCATGCTTGTACCGACAGTGGAGAGGAAAAACTCCCTTTTAACAGGAAGAAACCTCCAGCAGAACCAGGCTCAGTGTGAGCGACCATCTGCCGAGGCCGACTGGGGTTCAAGAAGACAGAAGCAGAGATACAAAAAGCAGCTGTAAAAGGCGGCCCCGTCCAGGAGAAAAACACACACCCGGGCAGACAAGCTCCGAGCCAAACAGAAATAATAATCCAAATATTTGTCCTTATTTTTGTGGCATTTTTATGCTGAAGTTCTTTACAGTTGGTGTAGGATTTGTAGGTCAGTGGTTCTACGTGTCAATACATCAAGTGATTTCAGAAAGGTACAAGATTCTGTAAAATTACTACCAAAAACTGAATTTGTACTTGCAAATATTTAAATATTTTTAAACATCAGAGTCACTTTAAACATGAGTTTTTCAGTAGTTTAACTTAAGTAGATTTTTGATTGAGCAACTTTTCTTGTAGTTGAGTAGAATTTGATTATAAGTACCAGTACTTTTACTTGAGTACTACAGTTGTGTACTTCACCCACCACTTGTTGAAAGGGGTCAAGAGTAGGTGGATATGACAAGTCATTCTGTTTTCTGTCATTTTATTGGTCATCAAACAACAAACAAATTAAATCGTAACAATTCTCTGTAAAATGTTTAGATTGGGATCATGAGAGCACATTAGAAAAAATATGAAATAGTCCTGGAAGAGTTTATATCTCCTGAAGACAATGCATGGATGTTCTGGGAAAGCATTCGTTTGCTCCCTCTAAAATGTACAAACATCAATCCCTCACTAATATTGTGCATTGAGGCTCAGTGTCCTGGGAACAGTAGAGAAATACAGTGCTTAATATAATTTTCTTTCAAGCACAGGAAACCTGAAGTCTGCTACATGTGTTTTTTTTTTTCTGTTAACCAGTTTATCTTTTAAAAAACTTTTGTTTATTTTACGTTTTTGAAAGACGAATAAACAAAAAATAATGTTAAAGTTAATCTTTCAAAAACGTAAAATAAACGATAAGGTTTATCTTAAAGTAGCTCTTGAACATGTCTCCTCTTTAAGTCTCTCTTTAATAAGTCGTCAGTTTCTAAATTCAGTAGCCTACCATATGTAGCATGTACCATAGTAAGGTACAAATGTTCAAAAACAAATAAAAATAGGAGTGAAGCTTTATTTTTATCACATGCTGAGCTGTTCTTTAAAAAAAAAAAAAATTGAAGAAAAAGTAAACATTCTAATTTCCTGGTTTCCTGAACGCACCACTATTGTTTATTTTCAAACAGAATCCATCCAGTGATCTGATTGGTCGGTTCCGACCCGTTCACGAGTAAATATTCAGCGCAAAATCCCCCTTTTCAAAAAAACTATCATTATCGGTAAATCTTTTGATTTGGAAAGTAAATTTCTTACAAGATGTTTTACTACCCAAACGTTCTCCATCGCCATTCTGGATGTTTTTCAACAATTTGGTAAGTTAAACAACTCTGATTGTTAACTTGTAACAAAATTAAAGAAAGGAAAATATTGAGCTCAGAAAAATAATGGCGGCTTTTGATCTTCTTGAAATTTTTTGTGATCTCTTTGATGATTAATTGTTTATTTTTTGGTGTGTTGTTTTGAAATGCTGTATATGTTTTGGCTATCAGGTTAGCAGCTACCACACGCAACCGTGTTTCTCGCAGGGAGTGTCTGGGTGTAAATGTGAAGCTGACATGGTAAGAATGAAACTTCAAAAAATATATTTTAATAATACAAACTATAAAACAATCCCATGATTACCAGACGGAGCGGCCATCTTAGTTTAGACCAAGCTGCTGTTCAGAGAAAATACAATTAATTGAGGCTAACCCTGCTGTATGACTTTAGACATTCTGAATCTTTCCGGCGCCGCATCCTGCCGGTGTTGTGCGAATTTCTGTTCCCCTGTAAAAATGTTCCCCCTGTGTCGGGAGCGCGCATCGCATCCAGACAGGT